CAGGGCTGGATGCCTAGATGCTCCAGGCTTGCAAACCTGGCAGTCTTAGGGAGGGGAAACTGAGGTAACATGAGACGCTTCGGAAGCATCAATGGGCAAGTATGGAAAGATGCTCCTTCAAGTGTCCAGGACAGAGCAGCTCATCTTGGTGCCAGTTCATAGCTGCAGGATGCTGGTGCAGGGCTGGTGCAGAGCAGGGATGATCCAGGGAACGACACAAGAGCTGTCAGGAAGGGGTCCATGAGCCTACCAGTGGGCACAGGGCAAGCAGAGACAAGTATTTGGGTAGTAAACACAGAGGGAATCACTGTACAGTGCTGCTGGCACCTGTGGGCAGCACTGGCATCCCCAATGTACCAGGCTGGCTGCTGGGAACACGGTCCTTGGCTGCTCAGGAGTGGAGAGGCAGAGATGTCTGGAGCCCCCGATTGCACCCATCATCCCTCAGGCCCAGCTCAAGGGCTTCTGGTCAGGGGGCAGCTGAGGACATTGGCACAACAGGGACGTCAGCAGGAGGAATTCCCCATGGGATGGAGGAAGGGATGAAGGATGAGGAAGGGACACCTGCACCACAGCTAGCTGGGCTCGCAGCCTGGAGACCTCAGGCAGGATGCTCAATGAAGGCCATTCTTCTGCCTCCCCCTCTGCTGCCAGCTCGTGCTACCCGGCGAAGGAGCTGCCATGGGTGCCAGAGCCCGGGTGCCAAGATGCCAGGCCAGGAGCAGTATGTGGCACTGCCCTGGGGGATAGGGTGAGCTGAGAGCTCGTCTGCCAGCAGCCTCTGCCATGTCACCCTGCCCTAGCCCAGAAGTGCCCAGTCCCCTCTGACATACACATAGCATCCAGCACCAACCACCAAGGGCTGGATTCAGCCTTCCAAGCCCACTCCAGAGACCTAAGGTTCCTGTCTCTGCAGCAGCCCCAAGGGCCCTGAAGTCACACAAACCCTGGGGAGGGGAGAGCCCTCTTTAATCTCAGGAGGTAAATTGAGGCACAAAGTAGCTCCAGACAACATCAGGATGTCTCTTTAACGTTGAGCAGCAATCTCCAGTCCTCTCCCTGCTTGCTCCTGCCCCCGATTTGAGACCTGCTCCTATCTTGGGTGCATGTGGCCATGCTCTGTCCCAGGGTCCTGGTGGGATATAGCCATCCTTCCCACCCAGCAGTCACTGGAGTTAGACCAGCATCCTTCGCTCCTTCCTGCTCACCAAGCCACCAGCCAGTATTTGGGGTGGTGACAGGAAAGACTATGGCTCGGTTTGGTCACAGAGTGTCTCTCCCCTCCCCCAGTGATCCCCAAAACTGCCACTGATTATCCCCCTTGCCTCATGCCATGTTGGGGCTCCAAAGATAGTGTGGAGCTGGTTTGCTCAGATTTCCCTCCTCCCCTCGTGCTGGGAGCAGGGGGATGCCAAAGGTCCAGCAGCAGTTTGGCCTCCTCCCCAGAGGCATGGAGGGCTCAGCCCTGTGCCCTCCATGGCACAGCTATCTCTCATGCTTGCTGGAACTTTACTAAGCCAATGCCAGAGACCGCCTCATTCCCGAGAGATGCATCTCTCCCCATCCCTGCATCCCTTGACCACTGCTTCTCAAAGCAGCCAAACAAAATTCCTGCTGTTCCCTCCTGGCTAGAGCTGCCTCCCCTTCCCCAGTGGGAAGAGGACCCATGACAGTGACCAGCATGTGCTATGGGGACCAGGGTGCTACATGGTGTGTTCCCAGATTGCCAGGCCTGGGACACCCATCCCACTGCCCCCAGGTATTCAGCAGCCCTGGCACCGGGGGCCCCCCACTCCCTGCCAGCCCTGGCTCTCCTTCAAAGTCATTCCTTAGCTAAGAGGAGTTGGCAAAAGCCACAGAACCAGCTGGAAACTGCCTTTATTCCAGGCGGGAGAAGGAGGATGAAGGCACCCCATCACCTCCACCCTTCCCAAAAAGGCTACCAATGATTTTGAGAGAGGTTGAAAACACTCCCCTGGCTTTGATCAAGAAGGAGACCCTCCAGTGACACTACATCCCATCGGGGCTGGCTCCAGCACAGGAGCTCAATAGTGGATAGAAATGTAGGGCTGATTCTCTGGGGGCATGTCCTGGTCCCCGGGCCAGGAGGGGTGTGCTGGTCCTGGTGGGAAAGAAGGATGCCCTGGCCCCGGGGAGGGATGCCTTGGTCCGCGGGAGGGGCAGGTGGGGATGCCCTGGCCCTAGAAATAAGGAAATAGGCCGCGCTGGCTTCGGGGTGGTGGGGGATATGTCCTGGCCCCGGGGGGGGCACTTGGAGCTTTGGAGCTTTAAAGATGCCTTTGCTCATTTCTACAGGCTTAGCCCCCCACAAAAGTACGCTAGGGCTGCTCGGAAGATGCAAACGGCCCCCCCATCCGAGGATCCCAAACCGCCCGTTTAGGACGACCGGCGTAATCTCGGGGTGAAAAGGTGGGTCCTAAAAACAGAAGCCCGAGGGAGGCGCAAGCATCAGGGGACTAGCACCTCTTGGTGCGGAGGTGTTCCCAGGCGAGATGCGCAGTCTGACCCCCCGACCACACCCCTCGGCCTCGCTCACCTCCTCCAGAGCCCCCACGGCCCCCCGGCTCTTCTGCATCTTGGAGGCAAAGGCGGCGGCCGGGGAGCTGAGGTCCTCGCTGGCAACGGCCAAGAAGTCGGCCACGCTGAGCTGCTCGGGCATGGTGCGGGGGGCACCGGGGGCACCGGGCGGCGGCGGGGGGAGCGGCAGCCCCGCACCGCCCCGGCAGCCCCGCACGGAGCCCCGCACCGCGCCGGGAGCGCTCCGCCCGCCCGCCGCCCGCTCCCGCCCTCCGCCGTCACGCGGCGGCCCCGCCCGCCCGCGGTTGGAGGCGAAGAGCCCCGGGAAGGGCTCCCATGGCCTCCATTCCGGGACGGAGCGGTGCGGGGTTCCCCGTGCTGGGGCGGGACGAAGAGAAAACCCCGCGGTGTGGGTGGATGCGCACCCCCAGCCTTGCCTTGGCACCCACCTTTCCCAGGCGCCCAGCACCTCCCTAACCCCATACCCCCATTCCCCAGGCAGCAGCACCCCCTAACGCCAACACCCAGATCTCCCTCGGCAGACAGAGGGTTAAAAGGCTGCAGCCCAGGCAGGACTGGAGCAGGAGGGATTTGGGATAAGAGTCTCTCAGCAGACGGGCAGCCCCCGGTGCCCCCGCTGCCCCAGGGGTGCCTCCGGTCCCTTGGCTGGTGTGGCCCTGCCACCTCCTGGCTGGCCTGGGGACTGCGGGGACAAATGGCCCAGGGAAATCCCCTTAGGTGCCGTAGGACACTCATCCCCGCGGGGCATGTGCACTCTGCCCCTCGCAGCGCTCGCCTGGCCCAGGGCTCTCCTCCTCCTCCACACCACTAGACTGTGCAACGCCAAGACGTGCCACGATCCCAGGTACGACACATCACCAGGTACCTTCAGACATCCCTGAGTACCACCGGGTCTCATTTGGTACCAATGAACATCAGGTACCCCCAGCCATCACTGGGTACCACTGATCACTTTGCCACCAGCACTGATGGCATCCCCAGGTCACATGTGACACTCGGGGAAGGACCTTACATGGACACAGCTCCCTCTTGCTCTGCAGACCCCAAATCAGGGTGCACAAGCCCATCCAGCCCCAAGATGCATAGGGAGCTGACCCCCAGCCCTGGTGGGGCTTTTCCCACATTCCTGGTTGGAGGGGCTCTAGCTCAGGCAAAAGCTCATCCCAGCCAGATTTCGGCTGCAAATCACCAATCTGAGCAGGTCAGACACATTCTCCTCACTCCAGTCAAAGCTTCATCTCAAACCCCTTCTCCACATGTGCCTACAGAGGAGGCTGGCCAGTTAAAAAGCCCCAAACCAGGCCATTGAAACAGAAGCAAAACCAGCTCAGCTCCTCTCTCCACCCAAACCATTCCAACATTTTGCTGCTTAGAGGAAAACAGCCCTTTATAAATACAAAATTTTAGTTTATTTCAACCCCTCCTAGGCAGAAAACATCAAGTGCCACAAGTTTTTCCAGACCAAAACATATTCTCACCCACACCATCTCTTGAGCCAACCTACAGGAGCACCAACAACCCAAGGAAGGACAACTTAAATACACCCACTGACAAATCCAACCCCTCCCAGCCCCACACCAAAGGGGGAACCCGGATAAATACAGTGCAATAATTACAGATATTTAGCAAAGAATGGCACAATTAAAAGCCCTATCCTACCCCATGTCCCAGGGCTTGTCCCAAGCTGTTTCCCAGGCCCCTCTCTGGAGGTCATTGCCTTCCCCAGGCATACCTCTTCCCAATACATTCCAGTTTTGATACTGCCAGCACCAGCAACCCCAAGAGGCTGGAGGGAGCTGGTGTGGACTGGGGCAGAGGGGCTGCAGCCCCTCAGGGAATATGGCTCCAAATCCTGGCCAGAGATTTGCTGGAGCCATGTGAGCTTCATCCTTCCCTCACCCAAAGGTGACTTCAGCTTTGCTGCCTCAATGGTTTTTTAAGGATATTCCAGCCGCAGTGGGGAAAATGCCACAGGTAATGAATGACATGTTGCGACCATGAAGAACCAGTTTGACTGAGGAGCAAGTGGAGTGACCCCAAACCATGACACAGCCCATTCTGGGCAGAAGTTTCTCTGCCACCCAAGGGTGCTGCTAACCCATGTGGGGCACCCAAAGGCACTCTCAGTCTACCAGCATCCCCAGGGTGGGGACGGGGTTACGGTGGAAAGCGTCAGTGCCCCAAGGATATATTGGGGGTGCTGGAATGGGTCCTGGATGGATCACAAGGCACTCTCAGAGCACAGTGGGATGACAACCAACCCAGGAGAGTGCAGAGAAGCCACACTGGGTAAGCAACACAAGGCCCCCTCTCCCCCCCATCCTCAGAAAACCCAGTGCTCCCCAGCATGCCCCAATCTCTCCAGTCACCCCACAGAGACCCCACATGCTCAGGTCACAAGTGGCCAGAGGGAACAAAGGCAATGGGGACTGGGGGGACACTCAGTGCTTCAGCAGGTCTCCCAGGTCATATGTCTCAAAGAGGTCTGTGACACCCTCACCCTCAAGCCCCCAGAGATAATCATCCTGTTCCAGGGGGGGCGAGAAGGCAACGAAGGTTCCCAAGTCCAGGCAGGAGGGGGTGAAGGGCAGCTGGTCCTCCGTCTCCTGCAGAAGGTGGGCAGGGGAGCCCAGGAGCCCAGGCTCCATCTCCAGCAGTGAGCTGGGTCCCCCCTGGATGGGGAGAGGCAGAGATAGGGGTGAGAGAGGAGTTCCTGTGCCCCCCCAGCTCTGGGAGATGGGGTGGGGTGGCTGTGTGGCTGATGGGGAGCTGTTCGTCAAGCCAAGGGGTACGGGGTGGTCCTGTGGGGAGGTGGCAGCAGAGGGAACAGGGTGGTTCTTGGTTGGGGTTTCCTCCATGATCTCCTCTGGGCAGAGGTACACCTCGATGGGGCCGTTGGTGCTCTTCAGGTAGAGCTGGAAGTTCTCCTGGGAGGGCAGAGTAAGGCTCAGGGGGGGCACCCAGAAGGTCACCCATACCCCAACTCCACTAGCCCCAACCCATGAGGGATCCAGTTGGGGCATTGCAACCCTTGAAGGACCAGCTCAGGGTCAAACAGCCCCACGAAGACACCCCAAAACCACCCAGGGTCATGCTGGGCTGTGTCCTTGGGACACCCCAGAGGGACCCATTGAGGGTGGCATGGGTCCAGCATCACCTGGCTGAAGTCTGGCACCTCCAGCTGTGTCTCAGGGGGAGCCTTCACAGCAATCACCGTCTGCTCCTGGAAGCTGCTGATGGCTCGGAGGTCCCGGTAGGTGACATATGCCAGCGTGGACAGGGACGAGGTATAGGAAAAGGAGGGGCTGCAAGCAGGACATAACCATCACACCCCTCCAAACACCCCCCAAGCCCGGGGGAATCCAACTGGAGGAGAAGCGGCTCAGAGAGATCCCCAAGACCCTGCCCTCTCTCCCATCTCCCTCAGCAAGGATATCTCTGGTTGGTCTCATTGTCAGCCAGCTGCTGGATCTGCAGGGCACAGTCCTGCGTGAGCTGGTCCAGCATCCTCTCTGTCCTAGCCAGTTCAGCCAGCTCCCCACGCAGCACTTGTCGCTTTGCCGCCATCGCTGCATCCTCGAAGATCCCTGTCCCCCTGCCAACGGAGATGGCATCTGAGTGATGGCACAGCACACCCCACGTGTCCCCAAGCCACATGTCCCCCACCCTGCCCCATCCCTGTGTTCCATCACTTACATCCACTGGATGTGGTTCTTGGATTTCTTGCGGATGAGCTGGATGCCCTCCAGTACGTTGGTGATGTCGTAGATGCGACGTTTCTGGACCTCCAGCAGCTCGGCAGCCCGGTTCAGATCCACAACGCCGTCGGGAGACTCGTTCAGCAAACGGATGAATTTCTTGGTGAGCAGCCCCAGTGAGGTGTCGTAGCGAGTCTTCTCCCCGGGAGACTTGGGGGCTGTGGGGAAACAAGAGACCCCCCCATCCTCTCCTTAATTTGGGATGCGGGATGGAGGTGACATGGGGCTAGACATGAGAGGCCACGTTTTCCTTTCTTTAGTGTCAGATCTGGGACAGAGATTACATAGGGTTGGAGACAAGAGATCTCCCCATCCTCTCCTTAGCCAGGTCCATGGGATGGAGGTATCACTGGGCTGGACTTGAGAGACCCAGCCCATCCTCTCCTTCATGTGGGATATGGGCTGGAGGTGACATGACGTAGTGCTAGAGGGGACATGGCTCTAAGAGGGAAGAGAAGTGGGGTCTGCTCCCCCCAGCTTCCCCTGCCCCATCTCACCCCGCATCACTTACTCCTGGGGCTGGGGACCTGTGCCAGTGTCCAGCCCTTCCCCTTGGGCGTGCGAAATTCGGGGCCCTCCAGGTCCAGCTTCCTCTTGGCCTGGAGCACGAGAGAAAACCCTGCATTGTGGCCAAGCCAGACACCCCTCTGAGTTCCCCAAACCCCCCAGGGTCATCAGCCAAGCCCTGGTGCCACATCCTGGGGTGGGGGAATCCTGCAAGAGGCTCACCCAGTTGCAATACTCCTTTTGGGAAGGGGCACAGCAGCACCCAGCAATGTGAGAAGCCACAGGGAGAACTGGACAGAGAGGAGATGAGGGGTCCTATCACCCCCCATGACTTCCTGCACACCCTGGCAAGTCACAGGGAACCCAGTGGGATTCCCCTCACCCCCAGCTCCCGGCAGGGCTCCACGGGCTGACCCCTGGGAATGCAGCAGCTCCAAAGCCAGATTCTCACCCTCCCACCTGGCCCACTGGGGTGCAGGATTTCACTTCCCCCCTCCCACCAGGTCATGGCTGAGGCAGCTGAGGGCACCCAACTGCCACCAGCACACCTGGGACCAGCCAGGTTCAGCCTCCCCGGGGCCCCTGGACACATGCACCCAGCTGGAGGGAAACTGGGCTGAGGGAGATATGCTGGCTTCTGGGAGGGGAGACAAACATCCCTGCACCTGCTGTCCCCTCACCACAGCAAGCAGCTCCTTGAAACCCCCACAAGGAACCCCGAGCAGCACTCGGGCAGAAGGGACCCAGGGAAAAATACAGCAGAGTAAATGCACAGGAGAACTGGAGGGTGTCACCAACCCCCCCCAATACAAACAAATCCCCCAGGATCCCTTCACACCCACAAACACGCACAGGGTGATTTGTGAGGGAACACTTTGGCTCAGCAGCAAAAAGCAGCCCCCAGCCCCATCCCAACCCCCCAGCAGTACCTGCTCCCAGGCCGGGCTGTCCCACAGGGTCCCCCCCAGTCCATCCCGCATGGCACCCAGGTCCCTGTGCCGGCTCCGACGGCGGCTCCCTTGGGAGCACAGCGCACTTTGCAGGGAAGGGTTGGGCACCTCGGCATCGTTCCCATCCGAGGGGGCTGGCAGGAGAGGCGCCAGGGGCTGTTTTCCTCCCCCCAGGCAGCCAGGTTGGTCCCGAGCTCCTGTGGGAATCTGTTCCCTCCCACCCTTCCCCGAGCAGGTTTTTCCCAGTGAACTTGCCTCCAACCCCAGCCTCGAGCCCCCGGATCTGCCCCGGAGCTGCCGGCACCACAACAGTTAATGCCGAGCGCATGGGAAACACCTGCCTCAGATAAAACCCCATCCCTCTGCCAGCACGGGAGGGCGGGCATCACCCTGCCCCCGCCGGTGTCCCTTGCTTCCCCAGCATGGATGGCCATGGCCAATGTATGTTCCCGTCACTGTTGGGGAGATCAGCTGCACCCCACCTACGCCAAGCAATGGGGAAACTGAGGCACAGAGCAACCCACAGCAGGTCCTGGTGTTTCCAGACACCTCCAAACGCCCTGAATCCCCCGTCCCTGTGTGCAGGAGGGGATAAAGGTGACCCCCGCTTCCTCAGGTGTAGTTTTGGGGCGTGGGGGGCTTGGTGGGCTCAGACAGCGGCAGGACCCTGAGTTCTGGGACCCACGAGCAGGGGACAATGGACAAGGGGCTCCCTCCTGTGACCCAGCTGCCATCCCCCGAGCTGGGCAGGATTAGGCACACAACAGCTGAGTGGGGCACAGCAAAGGGCTCCCAGCACCCTACCAGCACTGGGGGAAGGGGGTGGGGGGTGAGATGAACCACAGTAGGTAGGGGAGCAGGGACCAAAGCCAAAGACCCCCCCCCCAAGACATGGCAGGACCATCCCACGCCACTTGCCATGGCTCCCCAGGATGGGGGAACATACCATCTACATGCAATATGGTGGTGCGGGTGGGAAATCAGGCTTGACCCCAAAATTTTGGGTGTAATATAAGGCAGTGAGGGGGCAGGCTGGGCCCCCTGCCAGCTCTGCCTGCCAAGCAGCCCTGAGCCCAGCCCTGGCGCCAGGGGCTACACCCTGAGCCCAGCCCAAGCATCAGAGCATCCCTCAGCCCCCCCGCGGAGGGCTCCTCCTGCCAACCTTCCCTTCCAGCAGCATCCGCTGCCTTCTCCGGGCTTGCCCGGACTCTGCCCGGCCCTTTGTGGGGCTCCCCCTAGTTCCCCCTTTTACCAGCCCCACCGCCCCCTCGGGGGCGTGGGAACGCAGTGCCTGGGGCTGGCGGGGGGCCAAGGGGCACTGCAGGATCCTGCTGCTTGCTTGTGCTGAGGGGCTGCTGGGTCAGACCCCCACAGGTGCAGCCCCCTGCCTCGGGGTGGCTGAGGGCTAGCAGTGCACGAGATGCAGACCAGGGAATGAAGGCTGGTCCCAGATTTGGGAGACAGTGAGAGCACCGTGCACTGGGGAAGGAGACAGTACCCTCACCCCAGGAACTGCTCCCTACTCTGGGGTGCAGCCAACATCTGCATCCCCTCCAATAGCCCCATCCTGGGAGATGTTCCCTGGTAGAGAAGAGCTGGTGGCTTTAAAAGCCATAGCCAAACAAGCTCCTCCAAGGGCAGCAGCACAATCACCACTTCCCCACCCATCCCTCCCCCAAAAATACCCCCTTTTGCCCATGCAGAAAACCCTTTGATGGGATCAAGGTGGGATGGGATTATGTCACCCCTGTAGAATCTGGGGTGCTGCTGAGCAGGTTCTCCCACAACCCAGCACCCACAGGGGCTGCCAGTCGTGGTGGCTCTTTGCACGGATGGCTCAGCCCTTCCAGCTCGTTCAGAACCACAGAGGACTCTTGTCCCTGTTCAGGGTGGGGAGCTGGGATCCCACAGCAGAAACACCCCTCTCTCCAGTGCTCTTGCACAGCCCTAAGCCCCTATAGAGACCAGAGATGGGCAAACGCTGACAATGGGATTGGCATGGGCTAAAACCACTCCAAAAGACACGTTTTTCCCTGGAGGAAAACGCATTTAATTACTCCAGAACCCTCAAATTGGAGAGTATGGTAAATTTAAGGCTTTTTTGGATGGTGAGAGACAACCTGTCCTGCTTTCCCGCAGGGTGATAGGCTCCTCCATGTGATCCCAGATCACTCTCCTGTGCACACAGCCGGTAGGAGCGGCTGCAATTGCCCTGCTTGGGAGCTGGGAGGAAACGCTGGTATCTGATTGCCTCGGCTCTGCACACAAAGGTTGTGCCATAAACGGGGTGCGTGCGGCAGGAACCCCAGCTGTCAGGGCTGCCAGTGCCATACCGGGGCTGGAAATAGCATCTTCAGCACCGCAAACAGGACAACGGCAGCGGGAAACGGGGATGGGGGAATGCCTCTCGCAAGCCACCAAGAGGGAGAGAGGAGAGCCTCATGTCCCCAGCTGCCACATGAGACCCCAGACCCTGCTCAAGGGACGGCTGTGGGCAGCAGCACGCGGAACATCTCCTTGTGTGGGTGATGGTGGTGGTGATGACAAAGAGGCAGTTAGCCCAAAACCTCTTCATCCCAGATGTCACTTAAGGATAAGCAATTTATGTCCCCAAGTGTAACACAGGACCGCCCCCCAGCCCCCTCCCCAGCCACATTTAGGGGACAGCGGCAGGATGGAGTACCCTGAGCACTGGAGTGGGTGATGATGATGATGATGATGATGACAAAGGGGCCACTAGCCCAAAACCAGCTCTGCACATCCACAGAAATGGTACTGGGCGTCTGTGGGGTGTTTTTAAGGGAGGGGGCAGCAATGATGGTGTCTTCTTAAACAACAGACCCCGGCAGTGTGGGATGTCTCAGGCGGTTCGGAGACAAAGAGGCCGGAGAGGAGACAGGTGGTCCCTAAGTCCCCTGGGATGGGACTCAAAACAGCCGCATCCAGCCCCCCAGGCATGGCACAAAGGGGGAAGCAAAGACACTCCCTCTCCCTCCGCTGTGGCAATGTCCCCAGCTGGCACCAAGCATCAGGGATTGGGAAAAGGGGAGGGGGCGGGAGAGGAATAAATAAATAAATCAAGCTTTGGGAACACTAAATCACTGTTAGCGGGGTCTGGGATCCCTCCCAGGACCGAGGAAAACAGAGGCTCACAGTGAGGGCTGGATGTGTGCCCAGGCTGGAGCAGGCAGGAATTAAATGCCAGCTGCTGGTGGGGCCGATGACTCGGAGGGGGCCCTCCGGGAGCAGGGACAGGCTGGGCAGAGCCTCCTGTGTGCCCCGACAATGGGCACAGGGCCAGCACCCGACTTGTGCCTCACTTTCTCTGTTTAGGGGTAGCTTTGTAGCTTAGTGTTGGGCTTTACAAACACAACCGTGACCCCGCAGCTTGGCAGCAGGGATGTGGGACAGCAGCCCCGTACACAACTCCCAGCTCCAGGGTCTGAGCTATAAAACCTTGGGGTGACCCATGGAGGATGAGACACCCCCCCTCCCCAAAAACCAGCCATTGCCAGCCCCACTGTAGCCACGGGAAGAAACCAAGATTGGAAAGCGACCCCTGTTCCGTGTCCCCCACCTCCCCGGGTGACGGGTCACCCTGGGGGTCACAGCTCCAAAGTGGGGAGAGCCGGTGGGCAGGGCTGGTGCCCCCTGCCCAGAGCAGGCGGGGGCTCTCCCTGTGCCCGCTCCTCATTTCCCCACCACAGAAAGGGCTTCTCAAAGGGCCTGGGATTGCTGACCGGGTGCTGAGGCACAACCCGGACTTTTTGCAAGCTGGAGAAAGGAAATGAGGCTGAAAAAGGCCAAGAAGCGGAAGTTGGAGCCGCGGGCACGCAGGGGCGAGGGGAAGTTGAGAAACATTTGAGCCATTTCACTGCGACTTCTGATTTCAGAGCTCACCCTCCCCCACTCCCAGAAAGACACATTAGAGGGTGCAGACCCCAATGCAATCTGCAAAATTTGAGAGGGGACTGTACATGCTGAGGTCACCCAGCTCCCCACCCAGAACCATCCCCAGCGCCTGCAGCAATACCCGAGGAAGAGACAGGGTGCAGACATCTTACCGGCAGCCGTCCCGCCGAGGCTGTGCAGAGGGTCCTGAGCTCCGGGCCTTGGGGGGTGTCACAGAGGCACTCGCCCCGCGGAGCGGGGGCGCTGACAGCCGCCGGCGTGTAGACCTGGCTGAAACAGCCCGTGGATAACGGGGGGCTGCCCAGGCTGGAAGCCCCCGGATCACAGGAGACCATCACTGACATGACCTTCTTCGGGTGGTGCTGGGGAGGGGGGGACGGGAGGGCGGTACCCCCCCCCCTCCCCCGGGCGGGGGACACTCCCCTGGGGAGCCGCAGCATTGCAAAGTCCTTTCTGAGAAGCTCGGCTCGGGGGAGGGGGCAGGAGCACCCCGCGATTCCGTAGCCGGGAGTGGGGGGGGTCACAATCTCAGCCGTGGCATTTTGGGGGAGCGGGGAGGCGTTCCGCGGGCGATGTCACCGGCCGGTCCCCAAATTCCCCCCGAAAAACCCACAAAGAAGGCGGAGGCGATGCCGCCGAAACCGGCGGAAAATTCGCTTTTGGCCCCAAAAATCAGCCGCACTGGGGCCGTATGGGCCGGGGCTGCCGGAGAGCGGCCCCGCCTGGGCCGGGACCCCCGTGCCCGGCTCCACTCCCGCCCGATCGCGCCCGGCCCCGAGCGCTTCTTTTCTTTTTCTTTTCTTTTCTTTTTTTTTTTTTTTTTTTTTTTTTTTTTTTTTTCCGGTTTTTTTTAAGCGCCAAAACCCGTGCCGCGAAATTCGGAATTCCCGCGGAAAACGCCGAGTGCTGATTGGCTGTCGCGCCGCGGCCCCGCCCCTCTCTGCGGCAGGGTGGGGCCTTGGAGCGGTCGCGGGCGGGCGGGGTCATTTATGCAAATAAGGGGAGGGACCCTCTTGAGACCGCCTGCCGGGGGTAGGAGGGCTTTGCGTTGGGGATCGGGACTAGAATATATTTTCTGTTACTTATTTATTTTTCAGAAGATGCCCCCCATCAATCTGGTGGGGTCTACCCTGGGGGCTGCAACCCTCCAACCCCATCATCCTGCATTCCTCACCATTCTCTTATCTCCATCAACCCCAGTCCTCATCTTCTCATCTTCAGCCCACCCTTCCCATCGTTCCCCCACCCCTATCCCCAGTAGCAGCAACCCAGGGTAGGGGAGAGGGAGCCGCATCTATTTAAAATAAAAATTTTGGCTTCCATTAGCCAGAGGCTGTCTGGCACCTCCCCACCCTGCAGACAGTGCTGTTGGGGGAGGGCAGAGATCTCAGAGGGGCTCAGCATGAGGAGATTTGGCCCCTGGTTCACTCACAGTTTGTTCAACTTGGTGCTCATTGCTCCACATGCATCCCACCCATGTCCTTGGAATACACCAAGTCTTCTGACAAAGTGGAGGGAGAAAAAGGGGATGAAGGACACCCAAGCTGGCCTGCAGGGTATTTCAGAGTGCAGCAGTAACAGGAATCACTGAGGCAATGGCAAACCCCTGAGCGAGGGCAACTCTGACCCTTACTGGCACCAGTAAAAGGCCACCACAGCCACTGAGACAGGCCAGGGTTTAATTTTGCTGAGGCCACCAAGCCACAACAGTTGGTTTCTCTTCATCCCTCTCTATCACCTTGTTTGTCTCTATCCACTGGTTCCTCTCCATTCCCTGATTTGTCTCCATTACCTGGTTGCCTCCATCCATTCATTCCTCCCCGTTGTTCTTCTCTCCATCATTCTCCTCTCCAGGAAGAGCCAACTCCATGCTCAGGTCAGGGATAAGGATAATTATGTGCAGAAATGGACTTCTGTGTGAAAAAGCCTCTTGGAATACAGACAGATGGACACATGCTGAGCATGGCCTCTGCTGTGGATGAGGAAGGACAGCAGACCTCCAGACTCCAACTCAGCTGGGAGAGACACCCAGAAATGTGCCAGGAGCCTTGGATCAAGGATAGACATTTGCCTCCCACCGTGCAAGACTCTGAGGCAGAACAAAAGGCCTAGCAGCAGTGATGCTACCCCAGCTGGGCAGGACAACCCCTGTGCCAGCAGTGTGGCCGAGCTTGGCAAATCAACCCACCCAGACCTTCTTCTTCCTCTCCGTGCGAAGAAGGCAACTGCTGTCCCGATCCCAGTGCACAAAGACAAGGCCACGACCAGCAGAGTGGATAAATTTGTGTTATTTGCCTGCCTTGGGCTCGCTCCAGTGGGTGACCCGTGGGACAAGGACATTGGGGGTGCCTGGCAGCTTGTGTCCTCAACTCCCCCACTTTGGACAAAGCAGAGGTGATGTCCCCACGTGTTGTTAGTGTGACCTCACTGGGGTAAAGGCTGACCCAGAAGGTGGGAAAACTTGTTGGCCCTCATCCCCTCAGCTGTGCTGAGGGACAGCTGAGGGAGGAGTCAAGGGTATGTTTCCCAAGCCTTTTCCAGCCTTTCCAGCCATGGCTTTCCACCAGCAAAGTCCTCTCCCATACCAGAAGACACAGACTTGTATCTTCCTGTGACACCAAGGTGTCCAGAAGGGCAGGCCATGCACCAGCTTCCACCCTGCAAGCCAGAGGGGTTTGGATTGGAAAGGATCTTAGAGACCATCTCATTCCGTGATGTTGTAGAGGTCTGGGATGATCTTGTGGATGGCCTGAAGCAGCCCTAATCAGCCCCTTGACCAGCGTCCTCACCCGGGAGCAAGGCGAGAGATCCCATCACTGTGCTGGCCGTAGGGGAAGGAGCCAGGAGACCTCTCCTAGCTTCTCCCCTGAGGGTCTTGGGAGGGTCTGAACTGCACCCGAAGGCAGGGTGAAGAGCTGATGGTGAAGAACAGCTAATGATGCTGCTTTTCCCAGAGCAGATTGAGCACATGGAATAGTGGTGCTACACCTGGGCCCCTGCATCTCCACCAGAAGGCACCACCAGAGGCTCAGGGGTACAGCCCCCACATCGTCGCTCACCTCAGGATCTGGAAATTATTTTGCAGATTCAGCTTGGAGGCGAGGGACCTCATCAGGATGCAGAGCACAAGGCTGACTATATCTCAGAAGCAGGGGGCTGAAGCTGGGCTGTGGACCCCAAATGATATCCCATCCCCTAATGTTCCTCCCCAAGGAACATTCCCAGGAGAGAGGGGGTGCAAGGGGTGCTGATGCCCTATGGCTCTGCCCAAAGTGGGGGGAACAACTGTCCCAGGAGCATGTGATGGGCCACTAGGAGAGCACAGGTGATGGGCCACTAGGCGAGCACAGGTGGCCAGCAGCCCCCACAGCCCAATGCCACACACCCCTGTGCCTGGAATGGGGGCAACAGAGGAGGTCCCAGTCTTTTCTGGAAGGGCACCAGAGAAGGTCCTGGTCCTTCACAAGGGGAACACCAGAGAAGATCCCAATTCTTGCCGGGATAGGCACTGGGGGAAGTCCTGGTCGTTTCCACGGGTACACCAGAGGAAATCTGAAATCCCAGTTCTTCCCGAGGGGAGAACCTTTCCGGCCAGCCGGGCTCTTCTTCCTCTGCCCTGGAGACGGCAGCAGCGAGTCGCGGCTGCAGGGCCAGCACCGCTCCGTTGTCCTCGGCGGATTTTGAGACGCGCGTGAAGCCTCTGTCCCACCGTGGGACAAAGCCCTGATGTCACCTGTGGGACAGGGAAGACAAAGGGCTGACAGGAACAAGCGAGTTGGCTATCACGACGGAGGATGGTCTCCACGGGGGTGGGGAGGGAGCAGGAATAGCTTCCTCTAATTCCACAGCATCCCTGGGGGCTCCAGCCAAGGGGGTGCTGAGCCCCTACACAGGCTGGTTTGCAGGATGAGCCCTCCCGTGCATACATGCATACGAGCGTGTATGCATACATGCAGCACATACATCAGTGTGCCTGTATTTTCAGTGTGCACAGGCGTGTGTTGGTGCCTATGGGCATATTGTGAATATACACGGGCATGGGTGTCAGTGCGTGCACACGTGTGAGTGTGCCCGGACACAGCCGTCAGCATCTGCACACACACGTGTGAGTGCACACAGCCGTGTGTAACTGAACACAGTCGTGTGTGCACATCTGCCCGTGTGAGCGTGCACAGACACGCGTGTCAGTGTCTGCAAGCACGTGTGTAAGTGCACACAGGTGCGTGCAAATGCACAGTCACGCGCGCATACGTGCACACACGTGTGAATGTGCTCATGCCACACGTGTCAGTGAGTGTACGTGAGCAACCGTGCGCGTGTGCGCGCCCACGCCCAGCGGCCAGAAACCCTCCACGCGTGAGCGCGCCTGGCCAAGGTCACGCGTGTGCGCGCAGCATCTGTGTCAGCGGCGGCTGGCGGGGAGCCGGGGGGCGCGGGGCCAGGCCTTGGCTGGGGCAGCAGCGGGAGGAGGAGGAGGAGAAGGAGGAGGAGGGAAGTGCGGCTCAGACAGCGCGGCGCCAGCAAACACCTGCAAACAGCTCCGGGCACACAATGGCAAATACAGGTGGGAACCGCCGCCTCCGTCAGCGCAGCGATTGCATCAGACTCCGGCGCTTGCCAAGAGGCGAACGAGCCGGATCACGGGCCACCGGCACCGCGGCGGGGCCGCGCTCGACCTTCACCACTCCCCCCCCGGCCCCCCCGGTATTAGTTTTTGCCCTCCTCGCCCTCTTTTCTGCACCCCTGCACTGTAGCCGGGGTGGTAAAAGTAACGCCGGGCTTACTCGGCCAGGAGCATTTTTCTCGTTCCAGCTGTTCTCCCCGAGGTATATCTCGGTCCCTGCGGCTATTTTTAGCTGCATCTTTTCCCCGTTTTCTTTACTTAATTTTTTTTTTTTTTTTTTTTTTTTTTAAGTCAGGGTTTTCCAGGAAAACATCGGCATCCCACAACAGCCAAGAGAAATCTGCTGCATGGGGTAAATCTTCTCCCCGAGGTAAATCCCATTAACCCCCCGAGGTAAATCCTAGTCCCAGCAGTTATTTTTACTTGTGGTTTTTTTTTTTTTTTGGTTTTTTTTTTTCCTAAGAGGCGTCTCAAAGAAAGCAGTGGCAACTGACAGCCCAGTCCAGGGAGCAAGTGGGATCTGAACAAGGCTTGTGCCAGAGTCTGGGAAGGTCGGGGTGGCGGGGTGGCTGTTCCGGGCAAGGCGCCGGGATCCATCCACCACGGGGGAGGAGGGTACGGCCCTGGGAGGCTTCTTGGGAGCTAGCGCCGAACCGAGACCCTGCCGAACCCCAACAATCCCCTGCCCTGATCCCTGAGAGGGGACAGGGGCAGGGGCCA